TTTTTTTTTTTTTTTTTTTTTTTTTTTTTTTTTTTTTTTTTTTTTTTTTTTTTTTTTTTTATAATACTTGACTAATAATTTTGCCGAGCCGAATTGAATTCTGAGCTGGAAAGGAAAAGCAATTTCGCAACCGGCGCGACTCTAAAGCACTATGATCTATCGGCGATTTTTTTACGCGATGCCTAAACAGTTATATATTTACAAACTTAGCCATAAAGGTGGATACGATAATCACTAGATCTCTCGTTAACAATTTAATCACACTTTTCCGTGTATATTTTTCAGATTGTCTGATTTGTTGAATATTTTTTGCACAATGTAGAAAAAAAATTTTTTTTTTCACGTTACTCCAAGTGAAACAAGTTAAAAATCGGGGAAGACAAAACTAAATGAGGTAAAAAAAATGTTAAGACGCGATTAAAAAAGTCTTGACTATTTAGCATTAATTTATCTTTTAAGATTACTAAAATAAATAATCTAACGTTGATAGTATGTGTCGATGAGGCCACGATGAGAAATAATTAAGCAAGCTTTATGATAGGGAAGTGCTGGTGGACCGAGAAATCGAAGACTGGCGGCTCCTTCGAATCCTTCTTGTGTCCCCCAGTGAGTAATTTCAAAACAATAAAATTTGTTTTGACGACCTTTAACAACTCGTTAATCTATAAAAAAAAGCAATGAACACGATTAATTTAATACAATCAATGGTAAAAAAAATAATTGTAAAAGGTTTACCTCGTTTACTGTATTGGCATTGGGTGGATTGAGCTCTAATGCGCGTTCCAATAAATTTTTAGCTTGATTGAAATGCCGGCAACCATCGAAGTATTGCTCTTCGCTACTACCTTTTTCCTGAAATTCCAAGTAATACCAAGTACTTTAATAAAATGGTCAATAAACCGGATTCATTGACTAAACAGTTAGGGTAACTTACGTATTTTTTTATTTGCACATTTGTCATTTCTATGAACTTTTTGTATTGAATTGGCGGTGGCGTTAGCAAAGATGAAAACGGTAACAGACGGTGTTCATATCGAACTCGTTCGCAGTCGAATTGGCTATCAGGTAAGGGTATCTTGCCATCCATTCGAAAACCAACTAATGCCTGTAGTGAAAATACTGAATTATTTTATTGAAGAAAACCTTACGTTTTCAACGATTCCAATACCTTATAAAAACCTCCACAAATATTTTGCATGGCTTGATACATCAATATTTCCAAGTAGTTTGGCTTAGGCGTTGCCTTTTTCTTTTTGTTCTTTGCACTTTTCTTGGCGCTCCTGCTCTTTTGATTTTCTAGATGAATGTCTTGCTCTATTATAAACGAATCTGCTCTCGTGATGGCAGATATGAGCCAGTTATATAGGAACTCGAACAGATACCAATATATATAATGATACTCGTGAACCGAATAGAGCTCGAGCTCGAAGCCACTAAGTAAATACATGACCATAACGCGCAACGTGTGATACAACACCCAGGTGCCGAAGCAAGCCAAATGCGGCCTGGGTGTGTCACTTTTCAACGACAATGTGTGCATATAACTGTCCACTCGTTCGGCCTAAGGGAAAAAATAGTGATAAATGTATAATTTTAAAAGACAGTACTGCTTTTGTGTATGCACACCTCATCTTGTAGAGCCGCAAAATTTTCAAATAAAAAAGCCAGTCTGTCTCTCTGTCGAGCTCTATTGTGGCCACTTGTCTGCAACAACGTGCCAAAAAAGTTGGCACAATGTCCTAAAAAGTTATCAACAAACTCTTTCGCTTGGTGCTGTTGTAACAAAGTGCTTTTGGGCATTAAAACAGGTGGCGCAATGAAATTTCTCGCCGCATCTTTTAAAACGTCTGCGAAATTGTGGACACCAAAAACGCGATATGGCGTAGGCAAGTAAATAATTTGCAACATCGATCGCGACAATATACACGGACTTTGTCGTGAAAACTCTAAAAAGAAATCCTAAAAATAAAGATGGCAATTAGTGAAATTTGTTATTAAAAAAGGAAACCAACGCAAGAAAAAAAAAATATTATCACCAGAGCAGCATGAAAACTTGTATAGCTCGTGATTTTAGTAACAACTTTAAAACGATTTATGAGTTCTGACATGTAATCTAGAGCTTCAATTCTAGGCTTGATTTTTGTGTACCTAGGAAACGTGGGCGGCAGTAATCTTTGGTTAATCATAGAATCAAAACCCATTACATTTGGATGATTAGCTAAAAAGTATTGCATAAATTTACAGTGATCTTTTCAATACCAACTGATATTTTATGTATTACTTTACTTAAAACGAGTACTTACTAACTTCATCAGCTTTTGCTCCTTGGTTAACCGTTTTTATCATAATTTTTATCATATCTGAACAGTTGGATAGAAGACGTTGGCAACCAATGAGATTCTGCTGCAACTGTTCTTTTTTCCCCATCAATGTTAAAACTTGATAAAACATTTTTGTAAATCTTATCCTAGCATAAAGAGCTGAGCCTTGATTATACTAAAAAATTATTATTCTAGTGGATCTTCTATCTATGAGGTGATGATCATTAAAAGATAGATTTAAAATGTAATGTTACCTCTTTTTCCGTCTCATCATCGGTCGGCTTCACCCGAACTTTTTTATGTAGCTCTTCTTCAACTTCTCTCAAAAGAGAAATGGTTTTTTGCTCTGTGACTTCAACCTGAGGCTTATAACCTCCATACATGGCTCCTTGAAAGTCTTCCTCTTCGTAGACAGAAGCTTTCAATATGCACTCTCTAATTTCTTCAATTATTTTGTAGACAGCATAGCAAAATGTCTTTAAAGTCTTGTCCATTATCTGATCAGGCTGATGCAGATATAAATTAGTAAAAACTGTCTGAGCTAAACTATGACCTTCCAACCACGAAACTATGCAAGCATAAGTTGAATCGATTATTCCAATGATCTCCGCAGGTGTGAGACCATCCAACTTAATAACTCCAGTTGTTGCTGCTTGTGAAAACGTATATGGCTTATTGCTACCTCTATTGCACAGCATTCCAGCATCCATTTTTGGATCCATCATCTCTATGGCTGACATTGCATCAAACAGACCAAAAAGCTCATCATGTAAAAGTTCTCCCAGTTCCAATTCTAAAAAAAAGTGAACATCAACATTGCACACTCAAAATAAATATTCAAGTAAAAAATTAAACAACCAACACATAACTGACCAGTAATAGCCTCGAAGAATTCACCAGTAATGTCCACCCAATTGTACGAGTCTCGTAAATTTTCACTTCTGCAAATGTATCAAATAACTCATCAGATTAAGATATTTTCATTGAAAAATTCCATCAAACAAACACTATAAGCTTCAAAGTTTTTACTTTGAACATAAGACTAATTAAAGCACTAGTCATTTTTTTTGTTTTTTAAAACTCACATGTCTATTTTTTCGTCGCTCATTTCCATTGAATTTTGCTCTTCTAACAACCTCGACATTTTCGCTGTCCACTGTACTTGCAGTTTATTTTTTTGTAAACTATAAATATATTTTTTTTCTTTCCCAATCTGTAACTATATATATAACAACTACTGAGACTGCTGCTCTAGTGCTCTCTTTCACATACAGCTGTCTGTACCTATACTAACCTTAACTAAAAAACATATGACTTTTCGATTTTCGGGTGAAAGGTAGATTGTAAACCATAGAGATATTAGCATGATGCTTATATCTCTATGTTGTAAACTTACCGCAAATGGCACGCAATATTTGTGAAATTTTTATTGTCTATCCAAAAAAATTAGTTGCGGCTGGTTTATAATTGATTACATGGCTCTTCTACTCCTCTACAAGTTGTAAGTTGTTAGCGCCATCTAGCGGTCTTCATTTTTTAGTAAACCAAGGCTAGGCCAGTACATGAGAACGAGCAGTCTATGTTTTATATGTCTATGTTTATAAACGTTTATTCGTGAGAATCGTGACCGGGCTCCGGGCTTCCGTCTTCCGTATACAACACAGCTGTGTGTATTTATATATATGTATGCTCAATGTTTTGATTATTAGTTCATGGTTCATGGTACGTGGCACGTGCTACACGCTACACGTACATTTTGTTAGTAGAAAATACATTGCTTGTTTTATATTCATCAAATACAATTAGCATATACTTACTGTCAATAGTTGTATATACAACCTAAGGAGTAAGAAAAATATGGCAGAAAAAAAGAAAGTTCTTATGATTTGTTTAGGTAAGAGAAAATAAAGTTAACGCGCACACTTGGCACTTTTTTGAATTGAGTTGAATAAATTTTGTTGTACGAATGTAACAGCAGACGATGTAAACAATTGAATCAGTTTTATTCAAAGTTGATGATCCATTGTTGATTTACTATTTATAGGAAACATTTGTAGGTCACCAATTGCTGAGGCAGTGTTTGCAAATATTGTTAAAGAAAAGGGGCTTCAGGACAAGTGGGAAGTTGATAGTGCCGCCCTGATAGGATATCATACAGGGAAAAGTCCAGACTCAAGAGCCATTAAAACATTAAAAGAAAAAGGAATCACGGATTACGTTCACAAAGCAAGACCGGTAAATAGCCCGTTGTTGCTCTTACATTTGGTTTGGTACTCATTATTGTTATTATTTTTTTTTTACTTTACTCTTTTACTACTCCAAATCAAATCCACAGATTAAAAAAGATGATTTTAACGAGTACGATTGGATCTTTGGCATGGATGAAGACAACATTGATGAACTTGAAAGGAAAAAGCCTTCTGGTAGTAAAGCTGAGGTTGAACTTTTAGGAAAATACGATCCTCAGGGAGATGTCATCATAAGAGATCCATATTATGTAAAGAAAAATTGTATTTAATGTGAACTAATATTCCACGATGATTCCAAGTAATCAAATTTTCTATGTAATATGTTCTGTAGGATGATGGCAGTGCTGGTTTTCACAAAGCTTACGAACAATGTGATAGAAGTGTCAGAGCATTTTTGGAGAAGCAAAAAAACTGATCTATATAGGTTGAGGTTCTATTGATTCAACAAACAGTGTTTTGTAGGTGAAGAGTGAATGAAATCTGAAGACATTATATAATAAAAATTTATTTTTTTATTATGAACGATATCAAATTCAATTTTTTTTTTTTCATTTTCAGATATTCTTGTTTGACCGTTAGCATGATAGTTGATTAAACTAAATTTATTTTTTCACAACACATTGACCAGATACATAAACTTTAACTATATTACGATCGTCTCCGCAATATATGAGTCTTTGTAACTTTTCGTCCAGTGAATAATCTTTTAAATTATCAATCGCACTTTCAGGTGAGGCTAAATCTATAACAAGAGCATCAAATTCCTTTCCAACTTGAAAATTTCCAACTTTATTATTAATGGCTAGTGCTAAAAAAGTATAAAACATACATAATTGCAGTTTTCAGATAATGTGATCCATTGAATCATAAATATATTACCTTCTGCCCCTCCAAGAGTTGCCAAATAAAAGACATCCTTATAGTCAAGTGGTTTGTAGCCAGATTTTATAAATGACAAATGAATCGATGCTTGCAGTGCTGATCTCATTGTGTCTAATATCAATGGATTGTTACCTCCAGAGACATCTTGATTATTAAAAAGAATCCAAAATTTATTTTTCGTATCGAGTGATTAAAAAAAAAAGACAAATTACGTTACCTGTGCCTAAGCCAACTTTAATATTAGCGGCCCGTAATCTCCTCACGTCACACAGACCACTTTTTAAATTTGTATTAGAATTCGGGCAGTGAATTATAGCAGTTTGTCTTTTTTTAATGATTTCAAGTTCTCTGTCAGTCAAATGAACTCCATGAGCCAATACTGTCTAAGAAGTACACGATTATAAATCAATTGATTACCACGAAGTAGAAAGATTTTGTGCCTACCTTATCAGTTAGCAAACCTGCTGCATCATAAACTTCAGCGTACGATGGATGTTGTGCGAACAGAGTTTTCACAGCTTCAACTTCCTCTTTATTTTCGGATATGTGAGTCTGTAAGGATGAGATTATATTTTTTTGTATACTTTATTGGGTTTGAAAAAAAAAAATCATTTCTTTTTACTTGAACGTGAACATTTTTTTCTTTGGCCAAGTCGCCCAACTTGGCCATTAATTCAGTATCACAGCTTAACGCAAATCTGGGACTTATTATAGGCTCGACCAAAGGGCTCTAAAAAACAAAAATGAATTTCGTTATCGAATCAATGGCTGAGAATTATTTTCAAATCATTTCAACATACATTCATTTTTCGAACGTCTTCAATGAAACCTTCAGTTTCTTTAATCGAATCTTCCAAACTTTCAAAATAATCCTCAAATTGACAGGAATTCATATTTATTTTGCCAACAAATGCTCTCTGGCCGTATTTGACGACTTTTTTCGCGAGAATCAGCGACGACGATTTATACAACGAGGCAAAATAACAAGCTGTCGTTGTTCCCAACTTTAACGTCCTTTGCTGTAAAAATCGTACCAAATTTTTTTTTATTAATTTTTTTTTTTTTCCCATCAAACACCATATAAAATATTTTTCTCTGTAATTACCACAACAGCGTCGAAGACTTTATCCGCAAATTCCTCGTCAATGTATTGTCTTTCGAGGGGAAAGGTATAATTTTCAAGCCATTCCAATAAATGCTTATCATAACCAGTTCCCAGATTTGGTACTTGCACGGCATGGATGTGGGCATCGATAAATCCAGGAATAATAAACTGTCCCGCCTTCAAAAACACAACATTCTCGCGATCGCAGCTATTTTTATCTGGATTTAAATTTATTTTAATTATCTGAAATAAAACAATTTTCGTTACACACGTGTTATATTTCAAAAGTGCAATCCATTGGTACTTATCCGAGACTATATTGTACCTTTCCATCCTTGACGTCTATCTGTGCCCTTTCGTGAATGACCAACTCTCCCGTGTCGGCGCTATGAATTATTGGCCCAACAAACGATTTGAGCGTCATTGTCCCTTGTCTGCATGAAAAATAGTTTACAAAAATAATATTTTTAATCAAGGTCTGGTTGAACGTTTGCTTTTTTTAATTAAAATTACTCAAATGAAAAATAAAACGAATGGCCAAACTTGTCAAGCCTTATCTAAAATGGATATAAGTGCTGTAAACGTCACGCGTGTCCCACTGCGATTTTGTGTTGTTTTCGTTCGACTAACGCCGACTGAACTAAACTAACAGTTGTGAGTAGATCACCCACTTGGGTATCCTTTTATCCTTGTGGCGCTCAACGCCACCTGGATAAAACTCGGACGCGTCGGGAGAATATAAAATTATATAATACACCAGGACTATGATTTCTTTCAAAGCATATATATATATTCTCATGCACGCTTTGCGTCGTTTATTTTTAAATGTTTTTTTTTTTTTTTTTTTTTAATTTCGTGGCTCTGTTTTTAATCTATTTTTTGTGCCTGTTAAGATATTATAAATAGAGTTACTAAAATAAGAATATACATTAACGAGCTATTAAGTTTTTCTGAGATAATGCAACTATGGTAAACAAAATACAAAAATCTGTATGATGTAAAACAAAAAATAATTAAGTATTACGCTTTGGGCGAGATAACGGGGATTTTGTATTTTTCGTGGTTTTCCGTATACTTTAATTATGCTTTGTAATCTTATCTGATTTGTTTTAGGCATCAATTATTTTTTTTATCTATAATGCAAACTAAATACTCGAGTAAAATGTTTTACGTTATCTGATTCATCGCACATTAGGCTCTTGAGATTTGATACGTCATTCAATTGGTTGGTGGACTTAATCGACGTAGCGATAAAAAATAAAAACTTAATTTTGCGGGAAAAAAAAATTGAGCTTGGATTTCCTTCGTGGAGGGAAAATGTGTCCGTTATTTTTTTGACAAATCGCAAAATACTTTTATATCTATTTACTACTAATTTTCATTGTTTTTTTGATTCTTACAAATGAAAATTTAGACGCAAAGTTTCAAGAAAATACGTGTATTCGCGTCGAATCAAGTACAATGGGATGACAGTATACGTGAAAAAAAATTCAACTTACACGTATAAAAAAAAAAAATTACCAAAATCGAACAAATCAAATATTAACAAGAGTATTTTAGACACGTTAATTTTTAACTTTTTTCATTCGATTTTTCTTTCAAGCAAAGTATTACACATATGGCACATATAGATAAGTGTCAATGTATAAGGCTTATGGTTGATAGTAGATGGGAAAGTCACACAATTATAATTACTAAAATAATACGAAGGGAAATCTAAGCTTACAAAGTCGATTTATGTTTTTCCCTCACCACAACATGTACAGGTTCAATAAACGCTTAAATTAACGAGAACGGAAGCCCACGAGAAAAACCATCCCATCTCTAAATATTTATCTTTCTTCACATGTTTTTGCCATTTACCATATTAATTTTCGAGCAACTTAGAGGAAATTGTTATTATTGAGCCACATCACATAAAACTACTACTCCAGTCGAATAACACTCTGTGCCATATTTGTCGTTACGCAACTTATGAATATTCACTCAGGTGCAGGTATTTTTATACGCAACACCTGAAATAGTCTCCTAAAGTGTTTTTTTTTATTAATAACTTTTTAAATTTTACTCTATCGATGGATGATTTTGTCTACATTTAAAACTTATCCCCGTACACTATATACTTACCCCAAGTGGGTACGACGAAAATATACGACGAAAATAGTAAAAAAAAAAAAAAAAAAAAAAAAAAAAAAAAAAAAAACAACGGAATAATATGCTACGCGTATGTGAACTAAGGACGTAAACAAAAGAGTGTAAACATTGGCGTGTAGAACCAAATTGTCACGGGTGAAAAAATTCCGAGAGAAAAGTATTGAGCGCACTCGATGCGGGGAGCGCGCCGGAGAAGCACTGACAGGGTTTTTCCGGCCTCTCTGTACATTGCCTCTAAACGCTAATGTACTGCCAAGAATATATAGTTACATGTACACGTTCACGTAGTACTAGATGTAATATATATACGTACAATAGTTACGGACGCAATTGCCAGCGCGCCTATGTTGTTTTACGGGTCGGGTACAACAGCCTCGCGACAGCTTTACTGCACGATCGAGACTCGATGAAAAAAAAAAAGCACATGATATACCTATCGTAATAATCAATGAGTCGGTACAGTGGAAGAAAAACTCGAGCTTTTGGTTCCGGTGCGATTCCTCGTATCGGTTGGCCCATTCAAGTTTATACGCCTCGCGATTGCGCAAATAATCAATAAAGAGAATACCAAAACTTACCTACAGTCAACTCTCATCTTTATGTCCCAAGTTGCCGGTGCACTGGCTATCGATCTAACAAGACCCGCGTCTCGCCTACAGTACAGCGTCATCGCGTCGAGGGTGTGTTTATTTTATTTGTTTATTTTTTTTTTAAATACAAATATCCTCAGGAAAGTTGCTTCCCAAATGGACCAGCAAAAAACGGGGGGAGGAGAGGCTGCGAAGCCGAGCAGGTCGAAGATGCCGGAGAAACCGCCCCCGGAGACCTACAGGGAGTACTTGGACATGGACACGGACGAGGAAGAGTTCGGGAGACAGGGTGAGCAGGTGTACTCGTACAACGAGAATCGAGGGCGAAGCTCGTGCTTTTAAGCTCGGAGAGTGTTATTATTGTTGCAGTGAGCGAAAAAAAAAAAAAGTACATGCACACAACATGTATGAGCTTGCACGTGACCGAGTCCGAGATCAATCTCTCGTTCGCGCGTTATCAAACATTATAAGATCGCGTTAGTTAGAGGCGATTTGAGCGTTTGTGTGTTTGGCGATCGTATCTCCGGTTTAACGATCGGCCGGTTTTTTATCTTATCGCTGAATTTTAGCGATGCTTTTTTTTTCCGCGTACTTTTTTGTCTCGAAAGACCGGCTTTTTGCAAAATCGTCCGCAGGAATTGGATGGACTTTTCACTCCCGAGATCGTTACGTAAAGGCATCGTAAAACGTATAAATATACGCACGCTTGGTTTATCGCTTGGGATCGGTAAGCGATTCAACATTGAAATTTGTTTCATAACTTAAAGTTGTTACGTATACGTATGAGTGATAAAAAGAAAAACATGCTGGACGGTGTTTTTTTTTCTGTTTTCTATTTTTCCGTTCGCATTCCGAGCCGGTGATGGTGACGATCGTTATTATTATCACCATCGCCGATGCGCGAGATCGGCACGTAAGAGCCAAAGATATGTCATTTCAGATATAACAAGTATACGTACGCTTAACTCTACGTCAATGTTGGGTGTATTTTTCTTATCGATCAAATTATACGTCGCTTAAAAAAAAAAGTAAGCCAAGTGACGCGTGTAAACAATATACGCAGTGCTGCACGTGACAACCCGCGCGACTTTTGCGGTACCTACTTATCTCCGGCGATTGCTTTTATTAGAGAGACCCGAGATGATTATTGCCGATTTATTTGCCGATTTCCTCCGCCAAAACTGGGTTTCGATGTATAAATTACCATATCGAGGGATGTGTAAGAACAATTTGATCGGTAGAAACACCCGAGCCGCTCGACGAAGCTCCACCGGAGCCCGACAAGCCGGACTTTACCGACGAAGAGCTCGACACACTGGTCAGTACGTCTATAGGTACTTGGGAGTAAAATAGTGTTACATGACAAAACCGTTGGCAAAAGGTGGCCCAGGTGAAGTCCCTGACGGTACTGGCCAACCTGTCGGAATCGAGCTGGACGGAGGAGTGCTCGGAGACGGTGAGGGAGTACTTCCGCGAGCCGGCAGTCATTGCCCTGGTGGTGTACTTCTCGGGTGGCGTGCTACGCGCCCAACTCGGGTTTCCCAGCAGCGACACCGACGACGGTGGGATGGCTTACTTTTTGCGCGAGCCCTGGCAGGTCTACCGGGCCGAGGACTTTTTGGCCACGGTGGTGTTCGGCAGCGTTAGCGGGAGCACCGTGAGGACCGCCCTCAAGGTCCTGGGTGGGCTTTACGCCCCGCTCGTCTTCCGCCACCAACTTTGGCCCACGAGTATGGATGTTCATTTTTTTTTTTTTTTTTTTATTTTTTACTATTATACAGAGGGACTTTTCCAGGTGGGTCTGGACGAACCTGAGCTGTGGCGAATTTGACACTCTGGCATTCTGTACATATATAGTGGTTGAGCCGTAATTTTAACATATAGCAAGTACCTGCCTTGGAGTTTACACAGCTCAGGATTGCGTCAGACATCTGGGGAAATTCTCGATCTCCACAAGCTTCTCAACGACGAATCGAAAGTGCAGTTTCGAGGGACGAGATATTCTCGAACGTGAACGACCTGTTGGCGCTGGCGACCGACCTGACCTACTCGCCGTCGGGTGTCCTGATCCTGTACACACCGTGGGAAGGTGGTCGCGAAATCAGCGCGAGCCCGGGGGACCAAGAAACGCTGGCAAATCGGCTGGAAAAGGTCGCCAGAACGTGGATCCGGCAGATTCGCGAGGCTCTTCTGGTCAAGATCGTCCCACCGAGTGACGAGCTCTTCGACCTCGAGGACGAACTCAACTACTGGCGGAGCAGGTGTACGTTTGTTTCATTGTTCATTGACCGGTTTTTAGAGTTTAGGTATATGTATCTCTGCCCAGACACCAACACGACCGGCCTGTCGAAGCAGCTGGAGGGTGATCGCGTGCTGGCGATCGTCGGGCTGTTGAAGAGAGCGAGATCCCCGAGCGTCAAGGAGTTGCGGCTACTCGGCCTCGGAGCGAGGGACGCGAGGAACCAGGCGGAATCGAATATGCGCTTCCTCGGCCTCGTCGCTGAGAAATGCGGGGGCCTCACCGAGCCGAAACTAGCTCGAGACTGCCTCCCCGAGATCCTGCACACCGTCCGGTTCGTGTGGACGAAATCGGCTTACTACCGGGAGCAGTGAGTAATTTTCACGCTCGATGCTTTTTTTATACCCATATCGCTTCAAAGAAACGCGAGGTGTGCTCGTATTGCGCAGGAAAAACGTGGAGAGACTCCTGGGCTCGCTGAGCGCGCGGGTGGTCCGGGTTTGCGCGAGCAGTATCGATCTGCGCTCGATTTTCGACGAGCCGAAGATGTGCCGACGAAGCGCGAAGACGAGTTTGCGCTGCTGCGACTCTTACTCGAGGATTTACGACAGCGTATGCGTTGTATAAGTCAAAGCGTTGCTTTTACTTTTTTAATGAAATTAAAATTTCGGTCCCTTTTTAGATTCTCGTCGGTTGCTTGGGAGACGAAGACAACTGGAAGACGGATAAAGACGCGGTGTTCAATTGTGTCAATGCCTTCGTGCAAAGATGCCACGACGTTATTGAAATCTCTGACGCAATAACGATGCACGGCAGGTATGCGTTGGACGTTACGCAAGTGGATGCGAAAAAAAAAACAACTGTTCTGAACTTGTCACTTAGTGGATTTTTGTAGTTTCAGTAAAATAAATCTTGGGGGTACGCGTGGGAGTCAACACGAGGTGCATTACAGGCGCGTCAAGAATCGCTTTGCCGAAGTAATCGACGGAATACGCTCAGTTTGCGATTGTGCCCTCGACACGAGGAATACCAAGTGGTTCGACATTATGTTCAAGTTTCGACGCGACGTTGCTCAACTCGAGAGTGCAGTCAAGGATCTTTTGCATGGTTTGTTCGAGGATGTGAGGGACGTCGACACGGGCATAGAAACTCTGTACGCGTTGATCAAATTCAAGGACCGACGGGGTTTTCGGGACATTTTTCACGACAAGTGGACGCAGGTGAGATACGAGTCTTTTACTTGAGAGATCATTGTATGCGATTACAATGTTCAAATTGTAGGTGTGGAAGCTCTTTTACGAGGACATTAAAATTTCTACCTCAGCATCGGTCGATTGCGAGGTGGTTCAAGATAAAATAAAATTCCTGGGATCCGAGTGTACCGTCACAGAAGTGGCGGTTATTGATAAGTATTTGTCAAAGTTGCACAAAACGATGATAGATGCCTCTGATTGGCTCGGCGACTGCGACCTTCAACACGACATTTTGAAATATTTCGATGCAAAATAATTTTTATTGTACTTATAGGTATTTATTTGTAGAAAATTATTTCAGGAGTATAAAATCGCATACTTAAACACCGGATGTACATGTAAAATATATGTCATCCATCTACAAAACAACGTTACATAAAATATATGTGTAATCTTAAAAAAAAATGTCACGTTTGGTGCGTTCATCACGTTACATCCTCTATCAGGTGGTCCTTATTTTGTCTTCCACTTATGTGAAAGACCAAATCACTCGGGAATTCTTCGCATTGCAAAGATTTGTTATCAGTTTTATTTCTCCGAACTTGTACTTCTTTCACTGGTAACAGAAATATTAGAGATAAGGCAATTATCGCGTGCCAGGCACTGTGGACATACTGAAAAAATATACAAAGAAATCGTTTGAATGGTCATTTTTTTTTTTTTCAAGCCATTTAAAAGCAATTTATTTTTGATTAGCGTTACTGACCTGGTAATTAGATTTTGTTTCCACAAGGGAAAACAATAGAACGCCAATGGTCACCAAGATAAAGCCATAAATAAAGGGTACCACTCTTTGTGGCCGTATGAACTTTTTCATATTTACGCAACGAACTCCATAAGAAACCAACTACAACACGTCATTAATTAATGAGCCAAACGAATAACGTAATTTCTTTTTCAATATTATCGATGCATGAACAAAAAAATACCGGAATAGAGCAGCCGATGATCAAAGGTATCAAAATACTTCTGAGACTAGTTTTATCCGATTCTACTCCAAAAGTAATTATAATCACCCCTAAAACTTGTAAAAAAGATTCGAGCTTCGTCGGGATATCGGCCATGCAAACCAATGTAACCCAAAAGGCGAGCATTCCCAAAAAGAAATCGCAGTACTGAAGTACCTGATGGGAAAATAAATTTGCATGAAAATTTTGTAAGTCGCGAAAGTTTTGATTTATGTGTGCAAATAGTCTTTTTTTTTTACTTCAAACTTTGCGACGCAGTATCCAATCGATGGTTGATCGCAGGCATGGTAAAATGAAGAGAAAAACATTATCGAAGTGAAAACTAGCGCTTCGGTGAAGAGTTTGCGTTTTATCGCCAAATATATGGCTGGAATGAAAAATAAGTTACTCAAAGTCAAAGCTAAAGTTGCAAATACAACCGAGTACTCCGAGACGGCGTTTGTTGCATCCGTGCAAGCCCATCCTTGATGTCCTAAAAGTTAAAAATTGGCATTATTTTGATTATTTTGTTTTTACGAAAAAAAAACTATAGCAAAATTAATTTTCACCTCCGAAACATTTGCATGCGCTAAAGTAGAGCAGGTCTTTGTGAATTTCTTCGCAAACTCCGAATTCACCGCAGGAATCGGTTCCTCTGAACACGCACGCTCTCAATTTTACATTTAACGACAATAAAATTTCTTCCACTTTGCAATTTACAGTTTTCCTGTATTAAAATGTTTCACTTTAATATGTGTTCAGCTACAATTTCATCGCCGTACGTGTTTTATCGAAACTCACCCGTTAACGTAGCAAGTCGATGTAAAAGCGATGTAATACACATCCGGTTGCGGATATGGAATCATAATATTTGTACTATTTGGTCCGCTGGATGACACCTTCATTGTCATATGATTGTCAATACACGACATGTGACCGTCTTTTAATTTAGGTAAACGTCCGCGACTGATGCAAACGGTGACGTTGATTTGTTGTTTGATTTGGACCTATATGCACATGTAATTGAGGTAATCAAAATTAACTTTAAATAAATTAATTTACATAACTTTTTACCTCGTCCACGTCAAGTTCTACGTTAATATCAAGCGTTCCGCCAATGTCGACCAACGGAAGAACGTGAAATTGCACGACAACTGGATTTTTATCATTCAACGTGAGCCAAGATGTGAGCCAATCTCTTCCCTGAAAAGTTTGCCCTTCACATATAGTCCAACAATCGAATGAACTAATATGAATACATTTTTAATAAGTAAAAGAATCACTACCCAAAATAAATAATCTCCACTAAAGAGTTGAGAATATTTAACTCTAACTAATTGATGTCTCGTGATGCAAGAATCCGTAAAATCGTCATCAATATTAGTAGACTGGGTACGCTTATAACTGCCACTAATTGTACGGTTATTCCATATCTGACTTTGTTTAACGGAGCTATTGGAAGAGTTTCTCGTTAACGTTTTTTCTTTCAAATCCTTCAAATAAAATTCATCCAATGCTCTCGGACGAACAGGAACATTCATGTAACGACTGGCAAACACTTCTTCCACCGTTTTAATTGGACACACTGGAATACACATGGCAATATATTCTTCATATACATGCTACTCGAAGATTTTTTTTTTGTATTACATTTCGCGAAAACTCACGCGCTACAGTTACTTTGATGTCAAATTTTATCGCACTGCTAGACACCACCATCAAATAATACCATTCATCTTGAAAAGGAGAAGATTCCCAAAAGGTGTAAGTATCCGCCGACGTCAGGCTCGTGTTCTCCGTGTGTTCCGAGTGATGAGGCATAGCTCGTCCCTTTAAATTTAAATTTTTTATGCAAGGCCCTCGAAAATTCGGTGATTGCTTAACTGTAACGTTGCAGCCCGAAATATCGGCTTTGAAGTTCCACGTGTCCATTGGAATGTAAAACCTTGGGGACATTATACAACCGTTAAATCGACCGAAGGATACGTGTGTAAAACACAAAGTCAAGACCTATATGCTCAAGTACTTGTAATACGAAATCGTTTTGCTCGTGACAATAGTTTTTTGATAGCCCAGAGGGATGTTTTCAATCCCATGGGTCTCCGACCACAGCGCCACCGAGCCCAGATTGTAGCGGCACTCCGTGACGAGTCCCTACGAAAAAAAAGCGTCAGAAAAGCTCATTCGCTTCAAAAAATCGTCACTCAACTTTTTGGTGTATCCTCTCGTCCCACTGGTCCAGGTAAGCCCCAACGAACCAGTCCCCCGGCTCCGGACTGTTCACCGGAACCAAAACCACATCATTCGACTTGAAACTCGTGACAGTGGTCGTCCTGATCGTGCTATCGCGATCCACGTACACGTGCGGTGGGTAAGATGCATTGTTCACGGAGATAACCGGGTAACTTCCCCATTTCAAGAGTCTGTATGGATGAATCGCCGATTTGAAAAATCGTTATAAAATCGGCAAAGGGCAATAATATACGTACATCATCGATCGCACTTACATGTTGACTTTTCTCTGCGGGCAATCTACATTGTCCGAAAAGGCGGTGAATTGCCAGGTCGCCCGGGTCACCTGTTTCGGAACACTGTAGTGGAACATGACGACGTCCTCGTAGCTTTTGAAGGAACGCAGCGGTCCCTCCTGACTGGCCTCTGGTATAACACAAGCTCCATTGTCGACGTTGACAGCTTGAAAATGTATATTTGAGAGCAAACGATCAACTTGTAACGATTTCGCTAACGAGTGTGTATAACATACACTTACCACTGATCAAAATAAAATAGTAAATGATGTGGGTAAAGTGCTGCGACTGCTTTGCAGGAAGATCCAGGCCGAGCAGCATTTGGGAGCTTTACAAATGCTCTGAGGCATTAATAGAGGGCACATGTAACACGTTTACCACTGAACTTGAGTGAAGTTTTTGTGTTTGAAAAAAAAAAAAAAAAAAAAAAAAAAAAAAAAAAAAAAAAGGAAAAATTAGTGTACCAATCATCACAAGGAAGTATGAAATAATATGGTACACTTTGCATTGGTGGAGAGTCAAAAACGTCACTGCAGCATCACCTAAGATTTCAAAATAATGATGTGCCACAAAGGCTCCCAGCATTGATTTTAAAACGCGCCAACAAAGAGCGACGTCATGAGTGCAAAACGACCGAACAGCTGCCGCTACTGAGTATGGGATCAAACACACAGGCGCACATTATATTATTCCGACAACTAGCTCCTGTGCGTATCTCTCTTCCGTCCATTCGTCAGCAGAAGCAGCGAACAACTGCTGGCTCTGATGATCTCCTCTTGATGGCAGCTGTATACTTTAATAGCCACAACGATCGGTCTATTTCGATTTGAGCTCCGAAGAAAATAAAATACATATACACTGTTACGTACACCCGCACAAAAGAGAAACTCGGATAAGGGCTTGAAAAAATCTATATAGACCCCAAAGATCGGTATTAGTGTACTTGGTGTCCCTATGCTTGTTCCAAACGTATATACAGCTTCATCTTCCGATCGAAAGTATCGCGTGAGAGTAGCTGTAGGACACACATCGATGTGCACACACACATTGGAGCAGATCCTTGGGGCACACGCAACAGGCAACCCGTACTGTATAATATATAGGTACGCACCACCTCTCTTTCATGGCACGCTGGGATCTCTTTTTCTTTCTCTCTCTCGGCCGTTTGTGTGTACTTTTATATATATATACGCCCACGCACGCGCCGATGGGGTGTGTCAGAGGCCATGTGCATCTATCGCCTTTTTTTTTCTTTTTTTTTTTTTTTTGGGCTTGTTTTATCCTCACTGGTCCTGGAAATGGGACGTTGGTAAACACTTTTTGTGTGTTTTTCGGGAAGTGTTTGGTTCGGTTAAAACAACGTCAAATAATGGAAAATCGGTAGCCGACCGGTAGATCGGTAAACGAAATCGGTAGTGGGTGCGAATTTTTTGTATTTAATAATATATAACAGATAATTAATAAACGAGTAGCAGCACTCGGTACTAGTATAGCGAGGCGAGCTTTCTTCAAATAAAAACAGCGTGTTATTGTTATTTTTGTTAGTACGGGTAAACAACCAGTTTGCCTTATATTTATTCCGGAGCACCGGGGATTAAAGACTATATATATACATATTATATCCACGTATACATACTTATGCGGCAAGTTCGGCATTCCGGCTTCCTTTTCGGAGTAAAAGCGGAACTTTCTCCTAATCGGTAATAGGGAAACGCGTGTTTTATACATGTGTACCTACACGCTTGCCATATACGTATCTTTTGGCTTTTAAATACCTATAGTATATAATGTATGTACGTACGTTTGGTTAACAGTGAGAGCTAGGTGTATACTGTATAATATATATACATACACAAAAAATGTCAAGTCAGCGTGGAAAAGAATATATTGGTGTAATGAACATTAAGAATCCGCTGACAAAGGGAGAAAAAAAAAAGGCCCAACGATGCTCCGTAAATCTGGAGACAATCCTGGACTCTGCGGCAATGGAGTTGGTGTGTGTGCATGTATATATATATAGCGGACGATGAACGACGAAGCGCACCAGAAGAAAAGAGACGAAACGATATGTACATATATATATATATAAAATATACACGTTAAAGAGCTGCAGAAGGTGGGGATGGAATGGTGCGAGTGAGAAAGAGGACTTGCCGCTGCTGCTGCGACTTTGCTTTTTAGCTTTGCTTTGCCGTACGCTACACAACACCCAGTATACTACTGGAGAAGTGCTCGTGTAGACGGGCGAAGGAACGGACGTCGTGTCTCTCCTCCGGGTAGCAAGTAGCAAATAACGTAGTGCGTACTTATATATCGGTACACAGCAAAAGGGTGCCGCATGTAAAAGGTATATATGTATATATCGTGTATATAGGTACTTGGATACCTAGTGCGTGCTCTCGCGAACGTACTTTCCTCGACGAGGGTAACTGCCAATCGACAGCAGCAGTGAATGTATGACCACATAGAGCCGTTCTACGAGCAGCTTGTCAGGACGAACGGCGTCTCCCGGAGAGCATCTGTTTGTATGCATGTACGCGTGTGTTTTGGAATCCGCGCGACCGAGCGACCGGCACGCACAGTGTGCCGCCGCGGCTAAAGGAACGGACGCTGCGCTGGCGCTTTTCGTTCCGCTGGATATTTAAATTACCTCAAGTACCTACACACGTATACTTACCTACAAATATTTGTTACTGATCGCGAGTGCGTGCGGCTACTTGTTTGTAAATACGGAAAGGTGGTGTGTAAATTGTTGCTTGATTGCGAATGGGTCAGGATCAGCAGCCACGCGGCGCCAGCAGGTAGTAATATACATATATTTTATCCTACGTAGTGTGTGTGTGTGTGTGTGTGTATACAATATATAGGTATAAGTATTTTGCAGTGAAGTGACCGCGCTCTGACCGCTGCTCGCTCGGCTGCTTCGAAACACCACGGCAAAGCCAGAGAAAACACCTGACGAGGTGAGTGGTAGCTTATATGTATACTTGTCTATTTATTCTGCGTGCAATTGCGGCTGTAACAGCTAAGCGTGCGAATTTCGCGAGTCTCGTTATGGCGGAAACAATGTTGTACGTATATAATGTCCCCTGCGGCGATGATATTCAGACGACTTGGATGCGTGTGCGTGCACTATTTATATCTATTGTCATTTAAAGTAATCGGAAGTGCTGAGCCGCCCGCTACCCCTCCCTCCCCGAAGGAGAAAGCAACGATCTCTTTTGAATTTACTATCTTACGGAGAGGAGAGACGCGTGATCCGCACGTTTTTTAACATTTCACTGCCTATGGGAGAAATTGGCGCGCGTCCCCATCAGGCGATATGCAGCTCAACAGGTGTGCTCTATAGGCACTGGTCCTCTCTCTCTCTCTCTCTCGTTCTATGATTTCCCGTTCCCCGCCGGCTAGGCCAGAGACCGCGAATTATTTTCTCCTAGCGTTGAAATCTCGCACGAGAGAACACGTATATAGGTATATATCGAGACACACGATTTTGCTTTTGCCAGGGACTGTATTACCCTAGTTTTGATGATCGTTATCCATGGTTCCTTACTTATTTCAAATTGGAATTATTGATGCTTGTGATTTGCAATATCGGTGTACGTGATGATTATTATGTTTGTAAACTTAAATGGGAGATTTTGTGTGTTTTAGGGGTAGCAGATTTGTCAAAATGGAGCGAAAAGACACTCGGTGCTCTGGTTTCCAATTTGACACTTTACTACAAATAAATGTTCACATTAAGATGGTACAACTATTTTGACTGAACGATAAGTAAGTAACTATTATCGTATCGCCGTGTTTTTCGAGGAATACATCAGCGTCTGAATTACTTCCAATTATGATTCATAACATTTGGTATTCGATAGACGAGGAGCATCTCGATAAAACAATAATCATCTCTAACTTGGAATCGGAAACTTTAATCATTTCGCTCTTGACTGACTATTTTTTGCGCCGCTGTTTTCAAAACATTGATAAAAGTAACGACTTTGTTTATGTGCCAGACTGACAAGCGGAAAATTTACGCTTTCCACGCCACATACCGTACAGTTCGCTTGTACCAATCGATGATTTGTGTTGCAATATCGTTAAATAATTATAGAGTATTACGTATTGTCGCGTTACAAAGCATCATTACCGTATAGTTCGATCAAATATTAATTGATTTAGGATAGCCAGAAAGATATGACCGTAATCTCCCGCTGCACTAATAGACTTTACCTGATTGGCTAAAAATACTCTATATTCGATCAGCAGCTATTAAAAAAAAAAAACTCTTTAACTCTTCAGGGGCTCGCAACAAAGTTAAAGCGTAAACAAATCCGAGCTTGACCGATCGTGTGTGTGCATGTATATTCATATATAAAATTCAGGAAATACCTGTTTGCTGTGCAAGTATACGCGGTAAGTAATAAGGTGAGAGAGTGAAGAAAAAAAGGCACAAATTAAATTGAAATTAAAAGAAACTCTTTTGAAAAAGCCCCTATGCGGAAAAACGTGTATATACGAAGCGCGGCAGCCAAACATGCCATGTATAGGTATACCTATGTATTAAACACACTTATACTTTGCTCAAATCCTCGATAAAATCAGGAAATCCGAATGCTTATGAAAACACACGAGGGAGGGATAAAAAAAAAAAAAATCAACCGTCCGAAAGATCCCTTCCTCTCTCTCTGCATATATTATACGCAGCACATACACAGAGAGAGAGAGAACAGAACAGGTATATACTTAATACAAGTATCAAAAGAAGAAGAGAGGATGGGAGAGAAAACCCCGCTGCCCTAAAAACTTACCGGCACGCCGTTTTCTCTCTGTGTGCGTGTGTGTATATATAATATATATGTGTGTACTCACCGGAGAAGATCATCCCGTTCGATTCCCGTATACTATACTTAATACTGTACTACTCCAAAAGGAAAGAAGGAAGAGGAAGGAAAAAAAAGGTCACAGAGAAGATGCAGCATCGGCTCTCACTACATACATATATATATATATATATATACACGTTTACGCTAGGCGTAAAACACACGTCCGCGTGCTGATGTGTGCGTATATACATATACATATATGTGAGTGCGTGGTCTGCGCGCGGGAGCCTCCGGTCAAGAGACTCACCGGACCACTCCTGATGCTTCTTCTCTCTCTCTCTCTCTTCCCTGAAGAAGAGGGAGATGAAAGAACGCTGCTGATCTCCTCACATCTTTGCCGTGTATAACCGCACCCTCTCCTCCTCCTCCTCCTCTGTCTCTCGAAAGAGACGCGCGTGAATTTTTCTCTTCCCCGGTGAACCGTATTTTCGGTTCATTTCTTTATTTTTTTTTCGCACGCCCTGCATTCAAACGGGACGACATTTGGTTTTTAAATTGCACGGAATATCCGCGGCAGATCTACTCCGCCAGCCAAAGTGTAGAATGTGTGCCAATTTTACATATATGCATATTATCTTGTCAATCCGTGCGAAAAAAAACAAAAATATTCGTTTCATAAATATTTTCAAGCTCTGGTTTACATTGATACTTGTGGCCGTGAATTTTCGTTTTTCCTACCTACGCCGCATG